GATAGAGAAAGCGAAATAGAGAGAGAGGAAGGAGAGAATGATTTGCTACTTGTGACTATTTTCCCTTAAAATGTTGTTGAAAAAGATGTTAGTCCTAAATAGATCAATTGAAGATGTTAAAGGTAGATTCCCACTTATCTAGCTTGTGTTTTAAACTGATGTCTACCATTTACAAAGATCTCATTCAGTGTGGAAATGATCTGTCTGGACCAAGTACGGTGCAAGCACATACATTTTTCTAAAAAGTGGTGGCTAATGGTGAAGAGCTGTGCACTAGGTATCATTACATTTGAAAGAGCAATTACCTCTACAAAATATTAATGGTGACATTTTTTTCTGAATATATATTAAAAAGTCTTGTTTTATAAAACTGATAGGTGTGTATTAGAATTAACTCTACCTTAAGTTGCCTATGTTTTAAAGTGGTCCTTTGAGGTGCAGGTACCCTGTTCATTTCTTGCCCTTCCCATATAGCTGTAGAAGAATACAGGGAGATTGCTCTTTCACCCATCTGTCTTTATTAGTTCCTAGTTGAATAATGGACTAATACACCCCATCTTATTCCTATAAATATTGAGCAGCCTTTGGGAAGAGGCACTGTTTCAGGGGGATTTTGTATTCCTGCAATGTCAATATGCGGTAAAGTGTTTTTTAAACACTATGGGGTTTATTTACTAAAACTGGAGAGTCCAAAATCAGACTCCCTTCTGCATAGAAACCAATCAGCTTCTAACCTCAGCTTGTTCAATGAAGCTTTGGCAATGAAACCTGGAAGCTGATTGGTTTCTATGCAGAAGGGAGTCTGATTTTGGACTCTCCAGCTTTAGTAAATAAACCCCTATGTGTCTTGCACTTAAACTGGGCATTTTTTTGATGTAGGCACTAAAAGAATATCTACAAACAGTGTTCCATGTAAACTGCAGATTAACCTGTATTTTCCTCATCTAGCTCCCCTTCTCCCAGTCTAAATACTGCCACCCCCACCCTTTAACCATACCTCTTCTTTAAACAATAGTGTTCTTTCTCCTTAAACTCACATTCCTGTACCCCTTCTCCCCCACCCCAGGGCTTATGTATATCACCTTCACGCCTACCCTCTCCCTATTACTGCACTTATCACCTCCTGTTAATTCTCAACTAACATTCTAAAATAGTCACCGGAACACTGGGGTATGTGCGCTTATGTAACTCTCAGTCTCATCTTATTTCCCTCACCCTTCTGCTTTTCCTCACTTCTTAAAAGTGGTTGTCCAGTCAAAATTTAAAAAAATAGAAGTCAGCAGCTACAAAAAACTGCAGCTGCTGACTTTTAAAAAGCAGATACTTACCTGTCCCTTGATCTATCGGTGCCCTCACACCAGCCGTGTTCACCGGGCGTCCTGTATCCCCAGCGTCGGCATCTTCAGTATGGGCACCCGGCTGTTACAGCTTGAGGCTACACAGCCAGGTGCCCACGTGACCTGTCACGTGTCTCAGAAGACTATGGGGATGGAGGGTGGGAGGACAACTTCCACTTACGATTGCATTGGTGATTACAGTGGAAGTGGAAGTGGGTACCTGTCGAATTTGAGTACTCCCCCCCCCCACTCCCTAAAGGTGCCAATCCTTAATGGAGAGCAGGGGACAAGGCCTTAAAGCGGAACTTCCCCTTTTTGAGTGGAGCTCTGCTTTAGGATAGCTCACAAAATCCTGGCCCTCTGCTATCTAACCTTCACCCCCAAACCTGGTACCCTTCTTCTTCTGGCAGCAGCCACAATACCATCTCTACAGTGATGACACACAAATTTGTCTCTCTACTCCACAGATCTCTCCTTCTTGTGCTTCACTCATTTACTGATAAATATAGTGACATGGATGTCACACCACTTTCTAAAATCTCAGTCTTTCTAAAACAGCTCTTAATATTGCTGCAATAATTCGCAACACAAGCTGATACTCTCACTTGCCCTAAATAGCAGGCTGCAGCTATAAACTCCGTGTAAACTGAAGAGACTAGATTAGGAAAGATAAGCTGCAGAATGGAGAGAAGTGGAGCTCAGTGCTGGCTGTAGCTCCCCCCCCCCCCCCCAAGGCAACACCTTTTCAAGGCTTCAGGAGCGGTGGAGCTGCAGCCAGCAGTGACAGAAAAGAAAGATTTTTTTTTTACATTCACTACTTGGACTTGTGATAGTGAAGGTGACATGTTTTTTTTTAAACCCCAATCAATTATAAACAATGTATTTTCTGAAAGCAGAGACCCTGGAGGAAAAATAGCAACATTGCATTGTCACATGATATTTGTGCATCTAGCAAATGCATAATTTTAGGGGAAAAATTAATTTTAGTGCAACCAATCACATTATAATACCCTTTTTATGTAAAATATAAAGGATGAAAATTGAAAAATATTATGGCACCCAGAATTCTTCCTAGGCAACACTTTAAAAAACTTTATAGGTTATCATTTAGTGTTTACCAAGAATTATAGCCCTAGAATTATTGCTCTCGCTCTGATAGTCATGGTGATTCCTCACATAAGGCACAATCAATGTTTACACAGTCCCCGCGCTGTGTGTTTGCATTGGGGTATGTACAAGGCGATGGGTGTGCTTTTATTTTTTTTAATTTTTATTTATTTTGGTATAGTTTATTTTAAAACACTTTAATTTTTATGTTTTCCTTATTTAACTGTATGGCTATTACAGGGGGCTAACAAGCTTTTGGGTTCATTAGTTATAGGGGGATCAGGGAATGGATGCCCCGAATAAGCTCCTTCTATCAGTGATGCAGCCACCTAATGCAGTTCCCAGCTCCCAAGAGGAACAAAAGAGTCTGAGAACCACACCACCCACAGCATCCTTAGAGCTCTGTAAAAGTGATTGGTAAGCTATAGAGTTGTCTGGATCACTTTTACCTGAAAGCCCTTGCTGGCTCTAAAAATCAGTACCAGTGCTTGCTTTAACCCAGGGTTTCTAACCTTTTGACTTTCCTGGGCCATACATAAAAATCGAAGAAGATAAAGTGTTTTGGGCCACACATAAAATATACTAACAATAAGGATAGCTGATGAGCAGAAAATGTCAGGCAGAGCACAAGTTAACAATCACTGATATAGATAATATACCTATTGAAGTAATGCAACTTTTTTTGCAATTTTTTTATTTTAAAAGTAAAAGAGAGCAACATAAAACTAGCTTCATCCTTGAAAATATTTGCTCACAAATATAGGTGATGCCAAAAACTGATGACACAAATAAGGCGTGTTTGGGAAGAGTGGGATATTTTTCTTTGGGAAGATAAAACTAGTCTAGTAGAGACACTGTCAATTTTTTTCTTTGGTCACATGTGTTTGCTAAGTGTAATTGCTTTTTACAAAAAATATGAAAAAAAATCAACATTTTTAAGTAAGTTTATGATAGCTGTCTTGGGTTGCATGTGGCAGCTCTGCTCTCCCGCAGGTTGGACAGCTCTGCTTTATCACCTTGAATACCACAACAATAATTGCAAACAAGACAAGGGTTAAAGGTATGTCAGGACAAGCTGAAAATAAAAATATGCAGTGCATCTCTGCAATACATGCAGGGGCGGACTGACAACTCATGGGGCCCCTGGGCAATAGGGGATCATGGGGCCCCTATGTCCTTGCCCAAACTCAAAAATGCCTATGAAAAAGGTACCAGGGGCATCTCATGGGACCCCCTACTGACCCCGGGCCCTCGGGCAGTGCCCGAGTTTCCAAATGGTCAGTCCGCCCCTGAATACATGTATATTTCTATTATTTTTTATCATTTTGAATACCCTATAGATATAGAAATATACCTGTTGATCTGACAGAGATGCATTTAGCTCCTCAGTCCTATTCTGAACTGACAACAAAAAGCAGTTTTGTAAGCTACGCCCTGATAGACCTGTTAAGTTGTAATTTGCTCAAGTACTTAAATACTTCCGATCTTCAGTCTCCACAACATAGACACTAATTATTTTGTAGTCCAAGACAAATTCCTTGGGATAAAACAGTAAGTGTGGACAAGACTGAATTTCTGACCATTTGACAGATATAACAAAACACTTTCAATGGTATATTTAATGGATGAATAGGTAGCAAATAAGAGAAGTTCATTGTTAAGATTTTTTATACACTGTAGGAACACAGACCTCAAGAAGAAAACCCATAAAAAATGGGACACAGTTGCAGTTTTCCATTGAATCCAAGATGGTGTCCCAACAAGTCAACAGTGCTGTTAATCACCACGCCATCCACAGCTACCTAGTAATATGTGGTACCCCATCACACTATTCTTAAATTAGGTATGTTTTTAAAATTAGTATTTTCTTCTTTAAACTGTTCACCTTTTCTTCTTTAGACAATTTTGCTGATACAAAAAAATTTACTATTCTGTTATTTAAAAGGAAAATCACAGGAGTAAAATTATGGGACCTGTTTGTTCTGTGCATAGGAACTTGGCAGCTAATTCACCTAATGCTCCAAAAATGCTTTTAAAATATGATCACTTTTATGGTATTGAAGTAGCAAGGAGAAATTGAAACCAAACCTTCCCTAGATTACACTAAACAGCATTTCTTAGGAATGTTATCATGAAAGGAATCAAATGATTCATACTGTCTTCTATATCAAATGTCCAGACAGCATAGAGAGAGTAGATTTATCATTTTTTTCTGAACAACTTCAGACAACGAATGTTCTGAAATTTATTAGGCTCTGATAGAAAAAAAGCACGATGCAAACCTAGACATTCTTATAAGAATGATATCAGTGGATGAAACATGTAGTGTACATTCTGCTAGAAAGATTCTCTGTACTCAGTCTAGGTGCTAACAGTTAGAGTTTGATTCATGTGATATTTAGATAGTGAGGTTGATTTTTAACCACCTCCCGCCTACCATATAGTCCAATGACGGGCGCAAGGTGGTTCTTTCGTTCTGGGAGGACGTCATATGACGTCCTCCCATTGTCACCGCGCATGCGTGGTTCAGGGAGCGCGCAGAGCGGCAATCGGCGGTGCGCTGTGTCCCTCGGAAATAGCGGATCACCAGTCTATGGAAAGTGCCGAAGATGTCGGCTCGGTCATGTGATCAGCTGTGTCCAATCACAGCTGATCACATGTAAACAGGGAAATGCCGGTTATCGGCATATCTCTCCTCACTAGCTGTCACGCTGACAGCTCGAGGGGAGAGGGGACATGTACATTGATCATCAGGACACTGATGATCAGTGTGCCCTGATGATCAGTGTGGCCCCAGAAGTGCCACCTGCCAGTGTCCATAAGTGCCAGATGCCAGTGCTGAACAGTGCCACGTTCCAGTGCCACATCAATGCCATATATCAGTGCCTACCAGTGCCCATCAATGCCACATATCAGCGTCCATCTGAGCTGCCTTTCAGTGTCACCCATCAGTGCCTGTCAGTGCCACCTATCAATGACAATCAGTGACACCTATCAGTGATGTCAATCAGTGCCGCCTATCAGTGTGCATCAGTGCCGCCTATCAGTGCCCATCGGTGCCTCCTATTAGTGTCAGTCAATGCCGCCTAACAGTGCCAGTCAGTGCCACCTAACAGTGCCAGTCAGTGCTGCCTATCAGTGCCATATATCAGTGCTGCCTTTCAGTGCCCATCAGTGATGCCTGTCAATGCCCATCAGTGCCACTTACCAGTGCCTCCTCATCAGTGCCCATCAGTGCCACCTATCAGTGTCCATCAGTGCAGCCTATCAGTGCCCAACACTGAAGCCTCATTAGCGCACATCAGTGAAGGAGAAAAATCACTTTTTTACAAAATTTTACAACAAAAACTAAGAAAAAACTTTTTTTTTTTTTTTTTTTTCCAAAATTTTCAGCGGTTTTGGTTTGTTTAAGAAAAAATAAAAAACCCCGAGGTGATTAAATACCACCATAATAAAGCTCTATCTTTCACAAAAAAATGATAAAAATTTCATATGGGTACAGTGTTGCATGACCGCGCAATTGTCATTCAAAGTGTGACATCGCTGAAAGCTGGAAATTGGCCTGGGGGGAAGGGGGTAAAAGTGCCCTGTAGGCTTGTGGTTAAGGAGTAGAGTTTGTTTACTTAAAGTGGAACTATACTCACCTGAACTCCAGTGCTGTGGTGCCCTGGAGCTCCCCTATCTGCCACTGATATCTTCAGCCAGTCTTCTTCCATGTACTGTTCTTAGGCCGCTTTCATTGGCTGGGCTGAGGTGACATCACCCCTGTGCATGGGCGGGAGTTTATTCATTTCAGACAGGCAGGGAAGAAGCTGTAAATATATAATGTCATAGACACGTTCTAATATATAGTTATAACAATGCAGTTATAACAATGCCAGATCCTCTGTGTACACACTCCTCCCTGCCGGCAAGTGACAGATCCTCTGTGTACACACTCCTCCCTGCCAGCAAGTGACAGATCCTCTGTGTACACACTCCTCCCTGCCGTCAAGTGACAGATCCTCTGTGTACACAATCCTCCCTGCCAAGCAAGTGTGACAGACCTGGAGTGTGTATGCACTCCCCTCTGCCGGCAAGTGACAGATCCTCTGTGTACACACTCCTCCCTGCCTGCAAGTGACAGATCCTCTGTGTACACACTCCTCCCTGCCTGCAAGTGACAGATCCTCTGTGTACACACTCCTCCCTGCCCAGCAAGTGACAGATCCTCTGTGTACACACTCCTCCCTGCCTGCAAGTGACAGATCCTCTGTGTACACACTCCTCCCTGCCAGCAAGTGACAGATCCTCTGTGTACACACTCCTCCCTGCCCAGCAAGTGACAGATCCTCTGTGTACACACTCCTCCCTGCCCAGCAAGTGACAGACCTGGAGTGTATGCACTCCCCCCTGCCGGCAAGTGACAGATCCTCTGTGTACACACTCCTCCCTGCCCAGCAAGTGACAGATCCTCTGTGTACACACTCCTCCCTGCCGGCAAGTGACAGATCCTCTGTGTACACACTCCTCCCTGCCGGCAAGTGACAGATCCTCTGTGTACACACTCCTCCCTACCCAGCAAGTGACAGACCTGGAGTGTATGCACTCCCCCCTGCCGGCAAGTGACAGATCCTCTGTGTACACACTCCCCACACTCTGTAAACACTGCCCCTCTCCTGTTGTACACATTGCAGGGAATTTCCCACTGACAGCAGAGAGGTCACTGGTTGTTAGGATGCCAGCCTGTGCCGGCTCTTAACTAATGCAAAAACGGACCGTTGGTCCTTTAACATCCGTTTTAGGTCTTTTTTTTTAATGGAACAAAAATAGAGCTATGCAGTAATCCGATTAAAAAAAACAGAATGTAACGGATGTGGATATAAAATAGACATGCATTGATGTCCATTTTTCATCCTTGTACGAATGGATGAAAAACAGATAAACAGAATGCCTGTGTGAAAGGGGTCAATCTTGTCTTTTTTACAAGGATAAAAAGCTCTGTTGTGTGGCCATGAATCTCCTCTTCCTGATAGTGGAGAGTAGGGTTACAGGACACTGTGCAGATACACAGGGGGAGATTTACTAAAACTGGAGCGTGCAAAACCAGCTGCTCACTTCAGCTTGTCCAGTTAAGGTTTGACAGTAAAACCTGGAAGCTGATTGGTTTCTATGCAGTGCTGCACCAGATTTTGCGCTCTCTGGTTTTAGTAAATCTCCCCCATAGTGTGACTGTATTCCATAGCCTGTTCTGCCTGATGCAAGAGGCAGGCTGTACTTGAGCAGTGGATGTGTTCAAGAAGCAGGCTATGAATGGGAGGGGTGTGTGCCAGAGCCAGGCTGTGACTGATCAGGGGGCATGATAGTTGAACAAACTACCCAAAACAGGCATGCTGTGTGTCTGCACAGTGTCCTGTAACCCCGCTCCCCAATATTAGGAAGAAGAGATGCAGAAAGGCACTAGGGACATTACAAGCCTGGAACAACATTGTCCCTGGAGTTGACTGCAGATACATTTTAAAGGTAATAACTGCAATAGAGTAAAATATCAGCTCACTATAATTTCTGTATAATTAACAAATAAAATAGCCCCAATGTACAAACTATATAAAATTTTTTTTATTAACACATTGACATTGTGTACATTTAGTTGACAACATACAGTCATGGCCGAAATTTGTTGGCACCCTTGATATTTTTCCTGAAAATCAAGTATTTCACACAAAAAAGGTATTGCATTAACACATGTTTTGCTATACACATGTTTATTCCCTTTGTATGTATTGGAACAAATATAAAACAGAGCAGCAGAAAAGCAAATATGACATAATGTCACACAAAACCCCAAAAATGGGCTGGACAAAAGTATTGGCACCCTTAACTTAATTTTGGTTGCACACCCTTTGGAAAACATAACTGAAATCAGTCGCTTCCTATAACCATCAATAAGCTTCTGACACCTCTCACCCGGAATTTTGGACCACTCTTCCTTTGCAAACAGCTCCAGGTCTCTCTTATTGGAAGGACACCTTTTCCCAACAGCAATTTTAAGTTCTCTCCACAGGTGTTCAATGGGATTTAGATCTGGGCTCATTGCTGGCCACTTCAGAACTCTCCAGCGCTTCTTCTTTGCCATCCATTTCTGAGTGCTTTTTGACGTATGTTTGGGGTCATTGTCCTGCTGGAAGACCCAGGATCTTGGACGCAAACCCAGCTTTCTGACACTGGGCCCTACAGTGCGACCCAAAATCCTTTGGTAATCCTCAGATTTCATGATGCCTTGCACACAGTCAAGGCACCCAGTGCCAGAGGCAGCAAAACAACCCCAAAACATCATTGAACCTCCACCATATTTTACCGTAGGTACTGTGTTTTGTTCTTTGTAGGCCTCATTCCGTTTTCGGTAAACAGTAGAATGATGTGCTTTACCGAAAAGCTCTATCTTGGTCTCATCTGTCCACAAGACGTTTTTCCCAGAAGGCTTTTGGCTTACTCAAGTACATTTTGGCAAACTGTAGTCTTGCTTTTTTATGTCTCTGTGTCAGCAGTGGGGTCCTCCTGGGTCTCCTGCCATAGCGTTTCATTTCATTTAAATGTCGACGGATAGTTCGCGCTGACACTGATGCTCCCTGAGCCTGCAGGACAGCTTGAATGTCTTTGGAACATGTTTGGGGCTGCTTATCCACCATCCGGACTATTCTGCGTTGCAATCTTTCATCAATTTTCCTCATCCGTCCACGACCAGGGAGATTAGCTACAGTGCCATGGGTTGCAAACTTCTTGATAATGTTGCGCACTGTGGACAAAGGCAAATCTAGTTCTCTGGAGATGGACTTGTAACCTTGAGATTGTTGATATTTTGCCACAATTTTGGTTCTCAGGTCCTCAGACAGTTCTCGTCTCCTCTTTCTGTTGTCCATGCTTAGTGTGGCACAGACAGACACACAATGCAAAGGTTAAGTGAACGTCTCTCCTTTTTATCTGCTTTCAGGTGTGATTTCTATATTGCCCACAACCTGTTACTTGCCCCAGGTGAGTTTACAGGAGCATCACATGCTTGTAACATTCTTATTTATCCGCAGTTGTGAAAGGGTGCCAATACTTTTGTCCAGCCCATTTTTGGAGGTTTTGTGTGACATTATGTCGAATTTGCTTTCTTTCCTCCCTTTTTGTTTTGTCCCAATACACACAAAGGGAATAAACATGTGTGTATAGCAAAACATGTGTTAATGCAATACGTTTCGTGAGAAATACATGATTTCCTGGAGAAATATCAAGGGTGCCAACAATTTCGGCCATGACTGTATGTGAACTATTTCAATATTATATTGATTCTTTCAAATAAGAATCTGCTAGGTTCAGATGGCTGTGCGCAAAAGTAAATGGCAGCAAACAGAGAACACATTTGCTTTTCATTTGACTACAATAAAACACACATTGCACTGACTATAAATAATCCCACATGTGTATCTGACACACATAGAATTGTAATAGATAAACAAAATATAAAATGGAACAGTTAGATTTTGGCAATGGGGTGCACAGCTGAGTATATGCCAGATGCACAGCATGTTGCTGGCAAGCTGAGTATCCTTATTGGCATTTTATAGCCCACCAGAATTCCTCAGCTGCTGCAACCACTGGAATCTATATGATCATGTCACACTCCACTTACTATGTAAAAGAAATAACCTGGAAGGCCATCTACAAGAAAATAATTACTTCCTTTGGGCTGAGATCAAACTGAGGATGTGGGAGGTAGGGGGTTGACATTACCCAATCTAGAGACTCAGAGCGATATTAGAGAGGTGGAGGTAATTCAAGCCACCAGTGTTCTTTTAAAACTGAAATGACAATTTCCAGTGATAGGATTCTATGAAAACAGATGTTCTTTAAAAAAAAAATGCATGAGGTGCACATGCACACCAGTGGCAACAGCAGTATTTCTATGATCAACATTTTAATGTGAGTGAATACATCAAATAATGACATATATCAAAAAAGACATTTGCATAGTAAATGAACTAAAACTACAATTATAAAGAGTAACTATGTCCAGATTATGGACATTACAGTGGAACTTCTCCCAAAAGGGAAAGTTACGTTTTTTTTTCTACC